CATCCCCTGCTCATGTCCCGCTCCAGCGCCTCCTGTTCGCACCATCCCTCCATCCGCTGCGCCCGTCCCGGCTGGAATGGGCCCGTGCAGCGCCAGCGGTGACCGCGACATCGGCAGGACCAGCCCCGTTGCCACAGGCAGCGAGTGTGAACCCAGCGAGTGAACCCCAAGAGTGTGAGCTGGCTGCGAGCTTCACGAGCTCCTTCTGCAGCCAAGGAGCGACTGCACCGCTCCGAGTCACTGCTGCTGTGTCCAGCCCTTCCTCCGGAGTAGAAAGGCTCTGCCAGGACTTGAGTTGGGCTCCAGTTTTGGAAAAACACTCCCAAAAGGCTGCTGCCCTTCCCTCTGCGCTGCTCTCACACGTCCCACCCCCGGGATGTCGCTTATCAAAGCAGCCCTGTGTGCTCTGTGTGGCAAAGGGTGAGCGCCACCGCGGCCCAAATTCGAGCCACATTGGACCCTGCTGACCTGCCCTGGCCAGGGGACATGTGGCTGCTCTCRGCCTTGCCTCTCCTGCTGGGCAGCCACTTAATTAGAGAGGTGTGAATAATGAATTATCCGTGCCTCTGAGCCATCCATGGAAAATTCAAATCAACCTGCTTTTCGGTTACAAGACGTCAGCAAACGATCTGCCAAGGGAGAGCAGGGGGAGAGCGAAAAGCAGCGTGTGTGGTGGCGGGGATGAGGGAGGGTGGAGGCGATGCCGGGCCCGAACCCGCCGGGCTGTGCGGGAAAGAGCCGCTCGGAGCTCGGGGAAGGTGGGCTGGAGCTGCGGGGCTGTGCCCGATGCTGCCACTGCCACCTCCCATCCCCGCCGGAGAGTGGCTGGGTGGGCACAGTGGTCAGCGCAGCCGCGGCCACCAGCCCGAGGGACAGGCGAGTCCATCTCTGTCCAGGGCCAGCTCTGCCCATTGATCTCTCTATCAGATGAGTAAACCCACATATATTAACCTGGAGCCAAAGTAAACACATTCTGAGYGCTGGAGAAGCTCAGCTAACTCCATTTCTCCCCCCAGAAGCTGGAGCTGAAGCTCTGCTGGGGACAGCAATGTGGTCCCAGGCCAGCTCCTGGCACAGGCTCACCGTGCCTCAGTTTCCCTGCCTGGAGAGGGGATGGGGCCCTCCACAGCCTGGGAGCCCTCCCCTCTTGTCCCTCCCCCCTCAACCCACCCCTGCCCAGATCGTTCAACCCCCGGTTTGCAGGAGGAAGGGCTCCTGGCTGATGGCCCTGCCAGGGGAGGGGACACCAGAGGGGACAAAAACCCTCCTGCCAGCCCCAGCTGTACCCAGGGGTCCTTGGCAGCCCCTGCACACACCACGAGGGACAATCAACCCCTGCTTTACTGTAATCTCCTATAAAATTACAGTTAAAACCCATGACACAAACGGATTTTGGGAGTAAATTGCCCTCCAGGGAAGTTCAGTAGTTGTAAGCACAGGAAAATCCTGCGGTTGATTCAATCACTGGCCAGGGGTGATAAGGGACAGCAGCAGATCTCACCTGGGTTGGTTTCTTCTCCCTCGGTACCAAACGAGCATCCCCGGGGCATTGAGGGCATTTCTTGGGTGCCGGGAGCCACCTGCCTTCCTGGGCAGCCAGAAATGAAATTCTTCACCATTTTGGTGCTTTTTCCCTGCGGGAGAGTTGAAATGACTCATGTTAATGGGGGGTTTGGTACAATGAAGTCTGTGCCTGATTTTTTTTAAAAGCTTCGAAGTTTCATTTCCACATGATTGTTTTGGTTAATTTTGCTTCAATTTTTATACCAAGAACTGTGCTAATTACTTCTGCTTCACATTTTCCATTCAGTGATGTGCTAAATCCATTGTATTGTGAATGCAGTACATCGCAGGGACGGGGCCATTTGATGACACAAAATTCAATTTGATCCAAATGRCAGCCCAGGAAGGAGGAGAGAGCGGCCCTGCGGTGCCCCGTGGGGACCTGATCCCCTCATCGTTCGTCACCTCCAGCCCCGGCCCCGCTCCCCSCGCKGAGGAGCGCAGTGCAAACAGAGATCGAGGAGCTTAACGAAGGACAGAGGGGGGAGCGAAGGGAAGTGACTGCCCTGTGTCACCGCCGGGCTCTGTGTCACCGCCGGGCTCTGTGTCACCGCCGGGCTCTGTGTCACCGCCGGGCTCTGTGTCACCGGAGAAGCCGGCAGGGACCCGCGTCCGGCCCAGCGAGTGAGCAGCACTGCTCGCCCTGGCCAGCACCCCAATCGCCCACGAGAGAATCAGAACCGCTGCGGGCCTGGGTGGGATGCTCTGGGTGAGGGGCCGGGGAGCAGCGCCGGTGCCAGCTTTGGGTGCACCTTGCACAGCCWGGGCAGCAGCCAGAGGAAGCTGCGGCGGCGGGAGCCAGGACAGCCCCAGCACCATGACCTTTCCTCCCTCCGGGAATCTGCAGCCTCAGCAGGAAACGCCCGCGGCTCTCCAGCCTCTGCCGGGGGCTGCTGCACCCCAGGACCACTGCCCTGCTGCCCTGTGCCCTCCTGCCCTGTGCCCTGCTGTACCCCAGAACTGCTGCCCTGCTGCACCCCAGAACTGCTGCCCTGCTGCACCCCAGAACTGCTGCCCTGCAGCCCTGGAACAGGCTCCAAACAGCCCTGACTCTGAGCATCCTGCACAGGGGCTCTGGAGAGCAGGGCACCCACCCAGCCCGTCACCTGAATGCTCACCTGGGTGAGAAAAAAGGACCTGGAGTGAGCCTGGACAGCCCACCCTGCTCCCACAGCCCACCCTGGGCCAGGCTGCTCTCACAGCCCACCCTGGGCATGTCTGCCGTCAGTCTCATACCGTCTGCTCTGAGTGGTTAATAAGTTACCTGGGAAATTAGGGCAAAGGATGGGAAAAGCTGACACTCARTCCTGGTTTCTGTTCTCCATCCACGGGGTAAAAGCAGCATCCCGCTGAGGTTGTGGAGCTGCCGGCCCCGCCACAGGGCTCTGGGAGCATCGCCCAGCCCCGCCCGTTCCCACCGGAGCTGCGGTCACGGATCCCGGGCTGCCAAGGGACCGGAGCCCGGCGGGACCGGCAGAGCCCAGCGCGGGCAGCGAGAGGCCCTGGGTGTGAACGCTGTGGAGCAAAGCTCGGCCACAGCCATGGGGGCACAGCCCACGGCAGCAGGGATCCACCTGTAAAACCCCTCCAACTAAAAATCAAAATGTTTGAACAGCCCGTGCTCACTCCAAACTCAGCTCGGGCCAGTCCCGAATGGATCCAGGTTTGCGCAGAGCGTGGCTGGAGGTGCCAGAATATCAGGCCAGGCTGGGGTTCGGTTTGTGATGAAACCCTTTGGGTCTGGGGGCTGCTCACAGCGAGRGAGCACAGGGACTCCAGCACAGCCGCTTCACCCTCTTCAGCCGAGGATAAATCSGAAAGGGCTTTCGTTGGCACAGCCCAGGCGCCAGAGGCAGTTCCAGGCTGCAGGCTCAGTCCCTGGAGGTGGAACACCCGGAGGAGCACCGGCATAGGAAACGGGGCCGTTCCGCTGAGGAAACGGTGCGAATGCTATTTATTTGCAGAGTTTTGTTTTCATTAACTCCAGCATGAGTCAAACCCTTCCTGCCAGCATTCCGCCCGGCACGGTGCCTCCGGCTGGCASGGCTTTGCGGGGTGAAGCTGCGATGCCGTGGGCGCAGGAAGGTGACAATGCGGCCCCGGGGCAGGTGCTCTGGCGACAGGCGACAGTGTGACCGCGCAGATGAGTCCCTGAGCCGCCCTCGGGGCTTTCCAGGGACACTCRTGAGCTGTGCGCATGAATCACGGGCTGGCTGGGCAAAGAGGAGCGATCATGGGGGGCACTGGAGGAGGGGAAGGGCTGCAGCAGCCCCCAGAGGGAGCCGGGGCTGTGCTGGGAACAGCTGCCCGTGGGATGCTCGTGCTAATTTTAGGGGTGGGATTGGGCGGACACCCCAGAGCACAGCCCGGTGTGCCCCTGGGGGACACGCTCCTGACGCGTTCGCTGCCCGGACGGTGCTCGGGGCTCAGTCGGAGCCATCCAGCCCGTATCCTGTCTCCCGCAGCCGCCGGGAGGGAGGCGAGGGGCGAGGGTAAGAATAGCACGGCCGTCCTTGCCGACGCCCGCTCCGTGGCCAGGGATTTCCTGAGCAGGGCGGTGCCCGCGGCTGACGGGGATGCGGCGCCTGCCCGAGCACCGGCGGCTCCGGTGCCGCGCCATCCCCTGCGGCTCCGTGCCAGGGACCTGCGGCTCCCAGTGCACCCAGACCGAGTCTGTGCCACCCAGACCGAGTCTGTGCCACCCAGACCGAGGGCTGTGCCATTTAAACCTAGTCTGTGCCACCCAGACCGAGGGCTGTGCCATTTAAACCGAGTCTGTGCCACCCAGACCGAGGGCTGCTGGTGTCAGTGCCACCCACCCGTGCTGCTGCCCGAGCGCACGATGGGCAGGGAAGGGGATCCAGACTGGGCTGCCTTGCAGCCATTCCAATCCGAGCCATTTCAGCTCAGAGAAGAGCCCCTTCAAAATGAAGAAAGAGGGACATTTAAAACCGAACTGGTGACAGCCATTAGAGACACCCTGTCAGAAACACACGATGGTTTCCCGGTCTGGTCACTTTGCCCCAGAGATGCTTCAGCGTGGGTGAAAAAAAAGACSAGTCGGGGGATTTTAGTTGTGCAGCTGAGAGATGCAGTGCCCCGTGCCCTCGCCCTGTCCTTCCCCTGCAGAAGGACACCCTGCAGATATCCTCCGGCACAGAGGAGCGATTGCAGCACAGCGCACGGCCCTGCAGAGCAAAGGGCTTTGTGTGAGAAGCAGCCGCTTCCCCACCGCTTCCTCCGCCCGGCTGCCTGTGACCCACCGAGCCCAGCGCCGGCCCGGGCAGGAAACAGGTGGGATAAATATTTGTGCAAGCCAGAGTGAAATTTCCCTTGAAGGCCATACAATGTGTTTCCCTCGCCGCGGTTGTGAATGGAAAGGTAACGGCCAGCACAGCAGCAGGTGCTGCCGCCTTCCCGGGGAAAGTGAACCCCGAACTCTCCCTTCACCCCGAGGACAGGCTCGGGAAGCKGCTGGGGGCTGCAGGAAAAGCAGTCCTGGAAAAATCGAGGCATTTAATTGCTGTGGTTAAACCCAAGGCGCGTGGGAGCCCWGCAAGGCAAGGGCCAGCACACCCCAGCCCAGGAGAACCAGAGGGACTGTCTTTATGTAAAACCCAAATTGAACAAGTCCGGGGTCTCAGCTTCATCTGGTTCATTCCAGAGCCGGTCAGCGTGGAAGGAGWGGGGATTTTCAGCCTAAATAAGTGCGCGAGGTGAGCCCTGGCAGCGCAGGATACAGCTCAGGCCTCTGAGCCAACACGCACTCGTTACAGCCGCAACATCTGCTCTCTGACCTCYTGAGCTCCGATTGCCGGCAAACCTTCCCCCTCTTGGATTTCCTCTCCTCCTGCCTGCACAGACCACGAGCTCGCCGGCCGAGGAGCAGGTGGGCACCCGCTTCCCCCCGAGCCTCCGCTGGCTCAGCCCCGTGATTTGGGGGCTGGAGGGTGGGGYAGGCTCTGCAAACCAGCGAGGTTTCACAATATTTGCTTAAGGGCTTGTGACTTAGGGCTCAGGTGCTGCAGGAGGCCGGAGCAGCCTGTCCGGTGTGCCCAGCCCGGTGTGCCCTGGGGGACACAGCCCTGCACCCCTGGGGCACAGCAGCTCCAGGGACACCGCAGGAAGCTCCCAGAGCCATCCCCACACCCCCGGCACCATCTGCTCTCACACTGAACCTGCTGGATCCAGCAGCATCCCTCAGGGCACTGCTCCCGCTGCTGAGAGTGAGATCCACCCACAGAACCGGCACTGCTGACTCGATCCTTTCCCCTCCTCTGGCTCTCCCCCTTTTTCCTCCGCTCCTTCCCCCCTTCCCCCAAAAGCTCTTTGTCTGCAGGCTCTGCGGAGGAAGCAGACCTTCTGAAAATAAACTCTGTGTGCTTTGATCTGGTTTATGGGCACGCACTGTTTATAGCTCCGTGTGTACGACTTGACACCTTCCCACCTGCGGCCCCAGCAACTGCTTCTTATCACAGCCACTTTGGATATTAACAGGGCKGCAGGGAGGGTGATCCGCAGGTCCCCAAGGCCCCCCACCCTCAGCCACTGCCACTCCCCCTCCCCAGGCAGGAGGGAGACAGCCTGGTGTCTCCCGCATGCGATAATTGTATCAGCCCGTGTTTATTGGGATGTTTATCTCGACCAGCAAACAYGGGAGGGTCCTCAGAGGGTGAATCCATCCCTTCCCCTAATCAATTCGCACATTTTGACCTGTCCCTGTGCAGCCGCCAGCAGGGCATCTCTGCTGGTCACACCGCGAGCCGACACGCCCGGCACGGGTGAGCAGTGCCCGTGATCCCTGTGCTGCTCTGCTCCCTCACCCACACCGGGACAGGGACAGG